CTGTTAGTACTGAATTCAGTTTAATATAATACGAACAGCACACAGCGCAACCCCTCTGAATGGGGAATTAACGGTCCACCAAAGTCACTTCTTTGGGAAATGCAGCCTGAATTTCAAGCAGCAGACTCAGAAGGCAACTTTCCTGTACTTCTAATTTCTTTCAAGATTGTATTACTGTCTCCTTTCATTTAAAAATCCCACATATGGATACATTTTTTATTTCAAAGACAAAAAAGTTGACTTTCCGCTGTAATTTCATCTGCACTCAATACCAAGCAGAATACTTGAAGCCTGTTATCATCCTATAGTGTCATTACTCCCTCTAGAGAACATGAATGAACTATGGAGTCCAATTTTGGGTTGCACATTTGGGTACATGTTTGTGTGTATGTGTACATACATGTGAGGAGGCAAGAAGCTGACATCAGATGTTTTCATCAATTGTTCTCCACCTTACCTTTCGAGACAGGGTCTCTTACCGAACTGGAATGTGTATGTGTACATACATGTGAGATGCTAGTCTATGTGAACATGTATGTACATACATGTGAGGAGGCAAGAAGCTGACATCAGATGTTTTCCTCAATTGTTCTCCACCTTACCTTTCGAGACAGGGTCTCTTACCGAACTGGAACCTCCTGTCTCTACCTTCCCAGTGGTAGGCTTATGGGTGCACAGTGCCACACCCAGTTATGTGGGTGTTGGGATCTGAACTCAGGTCCTCTTGCTTGGATGGTAAGCACTTTACCAGAGAAGTCATATCCAAGCTCCTCTAAGTCTAAGTCTCACTCGTTTTTGAGGACAAAAAAAGTAAGAAGCTTTAAAAAAGATCTCCATTTTACTTTAAAGTATACTGTTTCATACAGAAAAACTCATTTTTAATGTAACTAACACTTAGATGTTTGCACATGCATCGCTAATCTCTATATATTTGATTATTGCTGGTCACAGTCTGTTACTTTCTGAGATCCTTGGCATCTGAGCATGGATAAAAAGGTAGCTTTCAATGGTAATGTTATTTATATCTATTAATTAACATGAAGCAAATTTTGTTGTTTCTTCCTCAAGTATAACTCATTTTTTGTTTATTGAATTTTGTGTATTTCATACAGAACATACCAAACAATCTAATCTTTATGACCGCATTCCAAATGACACCCTCCCATACACCCGCCCCCCAACGTGGATCCCATATAATCTGTCATACCTGTTACTGTCCACTGTGTTGTCAGTGCCCTCAACAGTTCCTCAGTACTAGTCCATCTACTGAGTCTAGTCAGCCTATCTAGAGTTCCTTGTTTTAGAATGATTAGCTCTTCCTCATCTAGCAGCAATTGGTTGCCAGCAATCCTTTACATAAGATTGGGCTCTGCTGTTCATTTTCCAACAACTCAAAAGAAGATATCTCCTGCCCTTAGGGAACTTCCCAAACTGTGCTCTGAGTGCCCACTAATAGGGGTCCAAACCTTAGAAGGAAACCTAAGTATACCTGACTGGATAATGACTTGGGCTACTGTGGAAGCTCTTGAGTAGCTGGATCTGAAGCCATCAGTTCCCTCCAAAATAAAATCTGAGAACCTGAAACCTAGACCAACCAGCTTTATATAATAAGAACATGATCAAGGCACACCAATAATACAAACAGAAGCAAACTTCAACTCAACAAAAGAAGACTTGATTTTCATACCAGAATCACAGACAACAAACGAAATTCACATACCAAAATTCACAATGAAAAAAAAGATAAAATGTAAAGCTACCAATCTCCACCAGTCCTATAGAAGAGGTCTACAAGTAGAGCCCCCTAGAGATAACCCAGGACACAGAATTGGCAGTAACCTACAAGATATAGCTGTAGGAAATGATTTTCTTAATTGGACAGCACTTGCTCAGGAATAAAGGTCAACAACAACAATTGTGGAACCTCATTAAAATAATAAGCTCTGTACAGCAAAAGAAACAATCAAGAAATAAAAAACTCAAAGATCAAAGAAGAAACCAAATGACCCAATTAAAAGATGGGCTAAAGCTCTGAACAGAGAGTTCTCAAAGGAAGAAATAAAGATGGCTAAGAAACATCTTAAAAAGTGGTCAGCATCCTTAGTAATTAGGGAAATGAAGATTAACACTTTAAGAAGATTCCATCTAACCCTAGTCAAACTGGCTAAGATCAAGAGAAGGAAAACCTCCAAAGGTTAGAGAGGACGTAGAGAAAGAGGAATGTTCATTCACTGCTGGTGGGCATGCAAACTTCTCATTCAACCCCAATGGAAAGCAGTGTGAAAAACCCTCAAAAAACTATGGTCCCGTTATGCCCCTCTTTTAGAACTCATCCTATCGCAGACACTTGTATATCCATGTTTGCTGCTGCTCTTTTTACAATAACAAAGAGATGGAAGCAACCTAAGTGTCCCTCAACCGACGAGTGGTTAACAAAAATGTGGTATATTTACACAATGGAGTTCTATTCAGCAGTAAAGAAAGATGAAATGACATATGTTCTCCCTCATTTGTGGATCCTAGCACCAAATCCTTATGAGTACATATTCTGATGCAACTCCAGGGACCAGGAATATGGAAGGGAAACAGGGAGGTAAAGGGAAAGAAGGAGCCCAAGAGAGAAGAATAATAGGATAAAAGTGTTATTAAGGGAGAAATATACAAAAAGGGGGTAGTAAAAGGGGAGGGGGGGAGGGCTACACAAAGAACTATGGGAATAAAGGGTGAAAAATTCTCCAGATAACACAGTAGGAAAAAAAAGCAATAAAGGCCATTGCCAATAATGGCTGTACACCAGAAGTGGACGGAAAAACCCTATTGCTGAAGACACTGCATGAAATGAATGTGGGGGAAGGAGGAACCAAGCTTGGACTAAGCTAGAGACTCCCTGCCACTGGATGGGTGGCTTTCATGGTGCCAAAAGGTGGTATGCAGATGACTGGGGGAGAATCATCTCCCATAACTCTGCTCAACAATGGACCCCATGTGTTGCACTATCAACATACCAAACAAGATGTGCCTGCTGGTGCAATAGTGGAGTGTCTAGTGTATGTATAATCAGCAAATTTTCGTTTGGATAAAATGCCTGCTCCTAGGGGTAGAACACACATCTGGTACTGCAGATGAGACCAACCCCCTCTGGCAGAGGAGAATATAGGCCTCTGTGGGAAGTCACTGCAATTGTTTTGTTAGATGGATGTGATGCACCTGTTAAAGAACCGTCCAAGTGTTTGCGTTTACACCCATAGGTTGTTATTATAGTAGCCACTGAACATTGAGATGTTCTTGCTTCTTGCTGATTGTGTTTTTATAGTAGATAGAATCCTACTGAAATGGGTCAACAGCCCATGGAAAACAGACAATGTAGAGACCTGAATGTTCAGTGCCTTGCCACAACAGGAGGAAGATCATCCCATACCTCCCACCCCCTCCAAGGCTCAGGGACTTTTGTGGAAGAGGTTGGCAGATAGAATGTAAGAGCCGGAGGAACAAGTGGAGTGTTAACTGGAAGTGTCCTCTGACCACTATGGTGGCAAGCTATAGTCACACCTCCTTCCCACACATAAAGGAGTCGAGGGGGGATTCAGTTACCCCTCCCACCCGATTAGTCGACCTTAGCTGCATGTGGGGGAAGGGCTAAGGATATATAAGCTGAGAATACCATTAGGCACCTTTCTCGCCATTTTGTGTGGCTGTTGGGAAGTCACAGGTCCTATACTTGACCGTGAACTTTCCAGCACAGTTATAAATGGGGGGCGCCCACTCTTCTGTAAATAAACCTCCACCTTATGCTCTGTTTGCAAGCCCAATAAACTAGTTAGGATTATCAAAGAAAACAAAAAACAAACAAAAACCAGAACGAATGGAAACCTTCATTATTCCACCAAACTTGATCCCATTGGTCTTTGATTTTTTTTTTTTGGAGGGGGTGTCTTTTTGAGCCAGGATCTCCCTATGACCCCAGCTGGCCTGGAGCTCACTTTGTGGACCAGGCTGGCCTTGAACTCACAGAGATCTGCTGGGCTCTGCCTCCCAAGTGCTGGGATTGAGGATGTGTGCCACCACGCCTGGCTTTATTCTTTGATTTCTTATCCCTACTTTTCCACCCTTAAACGTCATTGTGTATATATTTTTATGTAACCTGTTTCAAGTTATTTCTAGAAAAATGTGTTAAAAATTGCCTCTCATCAGAATAATAAAAATATTCTAAAAAAAAATATTTATGCTTGGGTCTCATCCCAGAAAATAAATCATACTCTTTCCCAGTGAATGGAGGTATCAATGATGTTAAAAAGCTATTCAGCCAAAACTACAGAACTCTTAGATATAACACAGAAGGTACAGGCAACACATATAAAACAGATAACTGAACTTCCTATGAAATGAATATATACCAATTGAAAAGATAGTGAAATAATCTAGAAGAAAATATTAAAGTCTAAACCACTAAACCATCAATGACAGATTGCCAGTAAAAGGAAGAGATGATGAGGACACAGTTGAGGGAATAAGAGAGACAATTAAAATAATTTCTGACCAAGTTAAAGGTATCGTCCTTCTTTCAGACAGGGCCTCATTCTATAGCCCAGGCTGGTCTCAAACACATAGCAAGACTCCTCCTTCAGCCCCTTAAGTGCTGGGGCTATGAATTACCACACCTGGGAAAGGTATACTTTTTCTAATTTCATTGTGTTACTATTTTCCAGAATACAGAAGGCCTCTATTCTCATGGAAGGTTCAGTAAAGGCAGACCCTGGACAGTTTAGCTGTTTGCCACCTGTACAACAATGTCAGCGATTCTTTCAACTGACCCTCATAAAGACGTCAAGAACTATTTATGTCTACAGTCCTCAAGAGCGACATCAATGAGGGGGATGCAGACAAGGCCAGGGACTTCCCAAAAGCAGGTTCTCTGGTAAGGAGACATTCTTGGATTTTTTCCTGCCCATTTTTCTGACAGTTAAGCAGAGACACATAGAAGTTCTTCAGCAATAGCTTACCTGATCAATATCAGCATTTCGTGGAAGAAAATAAACAATATTATTGGTAATCTTTTGGGAAAGTCTGAAAATTTCAAAGGTGAAGAAGAGTTAAAGAAAAAAAGTAGTTAATTTCTGAGCAGAGAGTTCATTACTTTTCATAAATTGAGTGTATTTTGGTAACCAAAAAGCACAAATTTAAATTTAATGATAAAACCTAAAAAAGAGAGATTTAAAAAAAAATTTTGAAATTTATTATTATTTTTTTTAATGTGCATGAGTGTATAAGTGCTTGTATGTATGTAAGTGCACCTGTGTCATGTATGCAATGCCTATGGAGGACAGAAGAGGATGCCAGATCCCCTGGAACTAGAGTTATAGATGGTTGTTAGTCATCATGTGGATGCTGGAACTCAAACTCAGGTCTTCTTCAAGAACAGTTGGTGCTCTTAACTGCTGAGCCATTTCTCCATCCCAGAATATGAGCTTTTTTAACCTAGCAGAAATACCCTTCCTCATAGGTTAGAGGAGTTAAATCTGTTTGCTCAAGTATCAGTAGCTAAAAGCCAGAGATACATACTCTTTATCTTCCTGCCCTTTCCTAATTCAGAAAATAGACAGCAGGAAAGCACACCACCGTTTTCTAGTACAGATGAAAGTTAAGCTACATACCCACCAGTCCAAGTCAGTGTGAGTTGAAGGAAAGTTATGAGATGGTTACCCCCAGACCCTAGGAATAAGTTTTGAGGGAATTTTCAATTTCTACTGATTGCAAACAAAACATGTATCCAATCTTGATTTACAATGTCAAAATTCAATAGTAACAACGGGAACTATAGTCTCACATCTATTACTTTTGTAGAACAGTCACCACATAATTTTTATATTGTTTAAAATTTTTTATTTAGGCTGGGTATGGTGGTGCATGCCTTTAATCCCAGCACTTGGGAAGCAGAGGCAGGCTGATCTCTATGAGTTCAAGGCCAGCCTGGTCTACACAGTGAGTTCTAGGTCAGCTGGGGCTACAGGGAGATCCAAAATGCAGGAGACTAAGGCAGGAGGATGACAAGTTCAAGCCACCCTGGTGGCTTGAAACTCTGCCTCAAAAAATAAAAAGTTATCATGGGTGTACAAAAAAAAAAAAAAAAAAAAATTTGTTGTTATTATTATTGTTGTTAATGTGTATGATCGTATGTCATGGTATATACATGAAGGCCAGAGGACAACTCTATAGAGTTGGTTCTTTCCTTCCACTTTTTGTGGGTTCCAGGGCTCACTCAGGTTGCCAGGCTTATTATGTGGCCAGTTGAGCCATCTGGCCAGTTCCATATTACCTGTTAAAAATACAGTGGAATCTATCAAATGTGATTAGCTAATACCTCCCCTCTCCATCAGTTTCTCTTTCACATGCACACATAATTTTCCTCTCCACAAGCATTTACACAAACCCTCAGGACTTTCAAAGGATATCCATCAGGAGACATCATGGTTCTAATGTCAAAGGTCTCTGCAGTGGCATAGTCTGGCCCTCCCCAAGGTGGGCTCAGGAACACAACATCAGCCTTTAAACACGGAGCCAGCAGCAAGAAATCTCCACAGACAAACTCTATCTTATCTGCTATCCCATAAACTTCAGCATTATTACGAGCAAGATCAATCTTAACAGGGTCGATGTCAATGGCAATCACTAAAAATAAGAAAAGAAAAAAAAATGAGTTAACATTGAGAGCTTACCTTTCCAATAATCAGATGATTCTTGAATAAAACCCTTTTTTTAAGACTAAGAGATTTGTGGCTATATATAAATAGTCTGGACTGCCTTTGTTGGGCTACGTAACGCTGGAGCAGTAAATGCTTTCAAAGCTCACCACTTGCATGTAAAGCCCAATGCTGGCTTTCAAACAAAAACAGTTCCTTAAAATGAGGCAATATTTCCAGTCCAACATGTTACCAGGGCAGAGGCCAGGTCATTCTAGCATTGGCAAGACCCAGTATTGGCTATTTGCCTCCTTTTCTTCTCAAGGCTGGCAATCTGCAAGGGTGAGTGATTAAATGAAACCAGGAGGCTAGGGTGTGAGCTGACCTATGAGAACATGGAAGTAGTCTTCCTGTAGGACCCCCAACCCCCCCCACATCTTCCTTTACCAAATGTGTGCTAAACTGCAGAAAACCTTGGCAATAGATCTCACTTGTTAAGACATAAAGCTATATATTCAGTTTTCATAATATTTAAAGAAAATTTCCAGAGGACAAGAAAGTTCTTGTCAATTAAAGAAATTCTGCTGAAATCCACTGAAATGTAAGCTATCATGTACTGGTAAGTATAATATGAAGGTATGTGGGGAAAGCACCTTTAAGAGTATGATCTGGTTATCTTTGAAATATCTTATTACAAGCACATAAAAATGACTTGGGGATACACAATTTACTTGGTAGAGTGCTTGCATCACATGCATGAAGCTCTAGGTTTGATACTCAGCAGCTCCTGCTTGGTCATACATGTCTGTGATCCCAGCACTTGAGAGGTGGACGAGGAGGGATCAGAAGTTCAAGGCCAGTCTGGGCTACAGGACCCTTCACTCAAGAAAGGACAGGTGAGAGAGAGTGAGAGTGAAAGAGGGAGAGGGAGAGAGGGAGGGAGAGAGGAAAGGAGAGAGGAAGGGAAGAAGGGGGGGAGGGGATAGGGATACAGAGTCAGAAAAGTACAGTGAAAACCCTGACTTTCAAGACTATGTAAGTTGGGCAGAATGCCCCTGCTCACCCCTCCCCGACTCCTTTCTTATTTTGAGAGGGGAGCTCATGTAGCCCAGGCTGCCATCAAAGTCACTATGTAGCAGAGGTTAGTCTTTAATCTTCCTGCCTCTATCTCCAAAGTGCTGGGATTACACAGGCATGAACCACTAAGCATGGTTCTCTTTTATAAAATAAATTTATTTTTTTCTGTTGTGCTAAGGATCAAATCCAGCCCATCCTAGAAAAGGGCTCTGTCAAGATACATCCTCAGTCCCATTTATTTTGAGTGTGTGTGCACAGATGTGTATGGGGGGAAACAAAGTGTTTCTTTGTAGCCCAGCCTGGCTTTGAACTCATGATCCCCTTGTTTCCTAAAAGCTGGTATAGACAACCATGTTCCATGAGAATATTCCATCAAAAAATATTTTAGCATTTACTTATTTATTTGTGTGTATGTCAGCAAACTACTGAGCCATCTCATAGGTTCCAACATTCCATTTTAAAATTTTATTTGTTTAAAAGGTTTATTTATTTTTATTTTATGTGTTTTGCCTGCATGCAGGTAAGTGTTACCACATGCATGCCTAGTGCTCATGGAGGCCAGAAGAGGGAGTCAGATCCCCCTGGAACTGGAGTTACAGATGGTTATTAGCTACCATATGGGTGCTGGGAATCAAATTTGAGTCCTCTGCAAGAGCAGCAACAGCTCTTATCTTCAGCCTCCCCAACAGTCCATTTTTAAAAGTCTTTCTCCAGGGGAAAAGCACGCTATACTTGACAGTTACTAGCAGATACACAGGGGATATTTTCTCTTTTTGATCCCACAGTCAAACAACCATGAAGAAATACAGTACTTAAAATATTCTGGATGTTATGTTAAAGCTGATGTTAAAGCTGAAAGGTATCACAAGGCTATTTGAATTCAATATATCCTTTAAAGTCAAATGTCAAAAGGCATAAAGCTACTGAGTAGGAGGCAAAAGTAGGTCTCCTTACCCAGTGCACTTTTATTCTAAAGAAACAGTATTCTTGTCTTTATAGTTTGTTATGAGTTTGATAAGAAATTAGTAGGTGTGTCTGTATAATCTTGGGCAACTTCCTTCATCTTTTTATGGCTCAATTTATCTGTGAAGTGCACATAGCAAAACATGTAATTTACAAGACTGTTGACTAAATAAGTATGTATCAAATATCCTATCATACAAGGTGAATATCTAATATATAATGCAAGCTATTATTTTAAATATCTGGCATGAAATTATTAATTATACATTAAATCTCAGCAAAAATATGTAAAGTAAAAACATTTACTGCAGAAACTGGAAATAAAATATTTGTCTTCCATGGGGAGCCAATTACCTCTTTTTCCTGTTAAGGCAAACTGAATGGTATTTCCCCCAACTCCACAGAATGCATCTACTACAATGTCACACTTGAAGGACTGACTGACACGGCCAGCAATGTGCTCAGCAATCTTCTCAGGAGTCACTGAAAACCAGCCCTCTGAAAAGGAAGATACAGGAAGAATAAATACCTCTGCAAGATGCTCAATTATAAGAAGGCAAGCCAAGCATGAAAAAAGCAAACATTACCATGCTGTACACTTTCACAACCACATCAGATGGTTCACAACCACCTGTAACTCCAGCTCCATATTTTCAGGCCTCTGTGGACACTGCACTCAACCCTTACAAACAAACACAAGCCCATACATAGGCACACACATATGCATATGATTTTTAAAAAAGGCGGGGCTGGAGAAATGGCTCAACGATTAAGGGCACTTGCTGTTCTTGCAGAGGACCAGGGTTATGTTCCTAGTATGACCATGGTGGAAATAAAAAACTGTCTGTAGTTTCAGTTCCAGGGGATCTGATGTTCCCTTCTGGTCTCTGCAGCACTGCATGCACATGATGCACTGATACACATGCAAGCAAAACACTGATACACAGAAAGCAAACAAAACAAAGCAGTTTAGTTTGGCTTTGCAAAAGTTTTATTTTTACTTTATTAAATTTTTTTTTAATATTTTTATTTTATGTGTATGAGTGTATTGCCTGCATGTATCTTAGTTTGGCTTTGCAAAAGTTTTATTTTTACTTTATTAAATTTTTTTAAATATTTTTATTTTATGTGTATGAGTGTATTGCCTGCATGTATATAAGTGCACCCACATATTGCTGTGCCTGTGGAAGTCAGAAGAGGGTGTTGGATCCCTTGGAACTGAAGTTAGAGACAGTTGTTAGCTGCCATGTCGGTGCTGAGAACTGAACCCAAGTCTTCTGCAAGAGCAGCTGGTGCTCTTAACTGCTGAGCCATCTCTCTAGCCCTTAATGAATTAGTTTTAAAGACAAGCTCTACACAGTTGCTAATTCCTGATTCATTTGTAATATTTCCACATTTCTCCAGGGATTGTACACAGCTGCTACTTCTCTGCTTGAAGCAGGTTCTCTGCTTGAAGGAGCAGCTGTGGCCCAACCTGGCCTCATTTATCTACTATGAAAATGAAGTTAGCTGCTCTGATTGGATAGCTCCCCATACTACAATGAGTTCCCAATTATTTCATTCATAATGAAGAGGCAACGACCCAGATTTGTACCGACACTTTGGGAAAATGTACATGTTTCTAAGAGTCAAAAAAGCAAAGAGCTGATAACAAATAGTCACAGCTTCTTTTTTTATGAATGGTGAAGGATAGAACGCTCACCGTTTTCAGAAATCAAGTCCTATACTTACTCAGAGGAAAGAATACTGCTTTCCTTTCTTCCAGAGAGTCTGCATTTTTCAGAAAAAGATTTCTATGAACAAAATGATGTGCAAACTTTCCTGTTCTTACTCTTTAGTAACACCAAATGGCTGTTCATTACTGGAAGACTGACTCTAAACTCCTTTTAATAGAATTTTTCCCCAATCTTTCTTCTCCTAATAAATTCCTAAATGTTTCCCTTAATATACAGTATTTTACAAATTATTATAAGGGGGCCATAGAATTCCCTAAATTCCAAAATAGACAAAGACCCTCCCCCCAGGTTTTGATAATAAAGGCTAATATTTAGGCAGTCTCCATATGAAAATGAGCATCAGTCTGCAAGACTAAGTTAAGTCAGTCATTTAAGATCAGAGCAGGTTTGGAGATAGCTCAGTGGGTACACATGCCGCCAAGTCTGACAATCTGAGTTTGATCCCCAGGATAAACCTGGTAGAGGGAGAGCTGACTCCTCTAGGCTGTCCTCTGACCTCTACATGCACACGCACATAGACACAGACATACACATAGGAGTTAAATGTAAAAAAAGATCACAATAAAGGAAAGCACAATAAAAAGTTCAAGTTTCCAGCGCTAACTACTTAAATCATTTTTCTGTATTAGGTATATTTTCACTGGATATTCTCTCTAAAAAAAATTATCAATTATTACCTATAAGATACAATATACAGATTAAACTTCAATCTGAATCTTAAAAAATATATTATTTATATATATAATATTCATAGAATGCTGAAGTAGCTTCTAAATAGTTTAAAAAATTCGTATGTTCTGTTTACCTTTGTCCAACTTAATCCCATCATCAAAGCGGGAGAAGAGCCTGTACCTCTGGGCCCAGTATTTTGCCAGCTCTGGAACAGAGGCTATCTCGGGTGGCAAACCATTGATCTTTTTGTTCTTGTTCTTTTTCTTCTTCTTCTTCTTCTTCTTTTTAACTTCAGCTAAAGTAAGATACAAAGAATATAGATGCTCACTATGAAAAAAAGAACACCATAGAGTAACTTATCCAAAAAGGAAGCAATATTAAACAATCAGTTTTGGACTGCTCCAGAACATGTATGCAACGACACACCCAGAGAAGCACAAGGACAAACACCACAACTGACTTCAGACCACAGCCTATTATTTATTGGCTTAAGAGCTTGGCTTTCTAAGCTCCAATTTCTTATTCCTACAAAAGGAATGAATGAATGAATGAATGTGTAGTATTTTACTAACTTCATTTGCAACACCGACAAGAGACATAGTTTGTACATCTGAAATCCTCTAAAACCAGACTTATCTGGTCCTCACTCTTTCAGATAAGGGATACTTCAACCCATACTTAAAAGCAGTGACACAGGCATAAGCTATTGTTAACCAAAATAATGCTTTAGTTGGTCAATTGAAGAAATGTAAACATTTTTCTTTACTTCTTTGGTCGTTGTTGTACTGGGGTATTGAACTCAGGGCTTTCTGCTAGGCAAACACTGTACAACTGAGCTATATTCCTGATTGTTTTTTATTTTTTAATATTTTATTATTTTTTACTGCATATGAGTGTATTGCCTACATGTGTACTGTGTTGTTCAATGCCTGTATCAGAAGAGAGCATTGAATCCCTTGGAACTGGAGTTACGGATGGTTGTTAGCCGCCATGTGGGTGCTGGGAATTGAACCCTGGTCCTCTGTAAGAGCAGTCAGTGTTCTTAACTACTGAGCATCTCTCCAGCTCCTTTTATTTTTATTTTGAGATAGGGTCTGGCTGATTTAGTTTGTCTGGACTGGCCTTGAACTTGTGATCTTACTTTTGCCTCCTGAGCATCTAAGATTATAAATGTGTACAACAAGCCCAGCCCTTTTCATTTTTTAAAAAAAATTATTTTTATTATTTTATATGTATGAGTATATTGCCTGCATGTATGTAAGTGCACTTGTGTCATGCAATGCTATGGAGGTCAGAAGAGAGCTTCAGATACCCCTGGAACTGGAGTTAAGGACAGTTCGCAGCCGCCATGTGGGTGTTGGGAATTGAACCCTGGTCCTCTGCAAGAGCAGTCAGTGCTCTTAACCCCTGAGCCATCTCTCCAGCCCCCCTTTTCACTTCTTTAAAACAAAAATCTTCTAAGGACCTACTCAGTGCTCTAGCCCTGGCCTTACTAATACCAGAATACACATGATGTCTCAGAAATATGGTTGAGTTCCATTACATAATTATTTAGACAAATGATTAACAGAATGATTACTAGGTTTCAGTCTCCAGAAGATTACAGGCAGTCATGCAGCAATGTTGGAAGAGGTGAGAGCTGTCATAGTATAAAAACAAGATCACAGTGACAAAGAGCAAACTCTACTACATTTAAATGGTTTTTAAGAATAGGAATATGCCTTAATTTGACCATCAGATCATCACAAATAGCAAAACAAAAGGTCAAGCTTAAGCTAAAAGTTTTTTTTTTTTTTTTTTTTAAACAATAGAGGGAATAATGACCATCTGGAGCAGACTAATTCCTTGCTGTAAAAAGACTAATGTATGTGATCTAATGCTAAAGAAACTAAGTACACATACCAGAATTCTGATCAGTCTAACAATCAACATCTTCCATGTGTCTAAGTAAGGCAATGCCATGCTACACAAGGGCTGTTAACATCATGACAGCAAATGTGCGGGGAGAAGAGAGTGCAGGAAAACAACAAGTAATAACCAGGGGACTGGTAATGAGTCTACCTACACTAGCTACTTGGTAATGTCTTAATTTCTCTGGGCTTTATTTTCTGCTTGTACAGAATGGTGAATAAATCACCTATCTCAGCAAGCTACCTTACAGATTAAGAATAAGGTACAAGAAAGCATTTTAGAAATCGGCAAGTGTCAACAGTAACCTAGCATAGAACTGGGAAAATGAACAGCAGACCCCAACCTTATCTAAAGGAATATTGACAACTGATTGCTGCTAGGTGAGGAACAGCTGACCCTCCTAAAACAAAGACCTCTAGATAGGCTGAGTAGATTCAGCAGATGGACAAGCACTAGGGAATGGCTGGGGCACTGACAACACAGTGGACAGTAACAGGGATGACAAAGCATATGGGCTCCAGTTGGGGGGGTGCTATGGGAGGGTGCCATTTGGGATGTGGGTACACAGATGAATAAGATTGTTCGGGATGTTTTGTATGAAATACAGACATACACACACACAAAATCAACAAATTAAAAAAAAAAGTTATATTTAAGGAAGAAGCATAAAAATTTGCTTCATGTTAATTAGTAGAGGTGATAAACATTACCACTGAAATCTACCCAATGATTTTATATCCATGCTCAGGTGGATCTCACAAAGTAACTGACTGTGACCAGTAATAATCAGAGATACATAGAGATTAGAGACTCATGTGCAGACATCTAAGTGTTAGTAGCATTAAAAATGAGTTTTTCTGTATGAAACAGTA